ATATGAAGAATGAATAGTTGGTATAGATGGAGCAGAAGTCTTTTTTCCTGGAACACAACGAACATTATTCGTTTGATTACAATTTGAACGAGCAAAATCTTGAACACGACGTATGAAATCAATTAATTCATCATATTCAATTAATTGATCATTTGAAGTTGTTATACGTATATGTAATGTATTATTAAGATGAAAATCAAGAATTCTTTGCATTAGCTCAGCTTCATACGAAGTTAACGTATAAGCACGAGGTGAGGGTGAAATATTTGAAAAATAAGGTGATAATTGTTTCCATCGTTCGGATTGTCCTAAAACTTGTTCAACATAACGTTTAACAACATATCGATCGAGACCATAAGTGCCAGGACTAGAAAAAAAAAACAAACGAGCACAAATAGAAATTTTTCAAAACATATTTTTTTTATGTAATATTATTTCATTCAATAGGTTTTCTTTTCTCATACATTCGAAGATGAAAATAAAGATTTTTGTCTATATTCTTCATTGTAGGTTATTTTGTTCATCATTTTCATCAAATATAAAGTTCAGACAAAAAAAAATGACATGAGAAATTATTTGTAAATGAAAAGAAAAATGCACTATCTACATTGCTTTCAAATAATACTAAAGAAATTTTTGAAGTACTTCCATATTAACTTATTATTCTTTGTTGATCTCTACATACCGGAAAAGAACAGCAAATGGTTGATTCTCCCATTGTTCCCATGCAAATTGTTTGAAACGGCTAGGTTCATCAGTTAAATCACTTGAACGATGCATTCACCTAGTTTTTTCCCAAAATAGATATAATTATATTTACAAATACAAACAAAAAAAGATATAATTGATAAACTCACTGTTTTCTTTTTTTCTAAAAATTCTTATACTTATAGTTTGAAAAAATCACAGTAGACTTAGACAATTTAGCGAATTCGATACTGTATTGTCCAATTGATCTTTTGAAATATTTAAGAATAAAAACATGTGTTTCACAAATCTTTAAAAAAAAACACTTTTATATTTTGTTCTGTTCTTGACTATATTTATAATTGCATAAAAATATAGGGGGTGTAAAAGTTGAAATAAAAGAACTTCATTAAACTTTACAGACAACCAATCTCCGTGACCGTTTGCAAAACATAACGAACAAATTTTTTTTAGACATCTGTATCATTGGTGCGAAATGACATTTCAAAAGTCATTTATGCACTTGTTACAGATGTCGCAAAAAACCAGCTACCATTCGTTTGATAGACCTACATGTGTGCATAGTCTCATTAGAACCGGTGATTAAGCGCGGTTCTTAGCCAACCGCGAGCTAACCGCAATTTGTTTATCATCTGTTGTCAACTATCTACTCATTTTTCTATTAACTTGGTATGATCTATCTTCAAAATACCGATTTCTACTAAACAGATAGATTGAAATTTATGATAATTGAATTATGCCTGATGGCATTGCACTTTTTTCTACTGGTGAAGTCTTCTGACTATAAAGACTATTATTGTGGCGCCATCTTTATAGTAATTCATACCGAAAACTAAAACTAAATAGCCGATGCACCTGAAAAGAATTTGTATATGCATTTTGTTGTCTACAGTCTTTTTTTTTATTTACAACGAAATTAAAAAAACAACTGAGCTTCTATTTTATAAACAATGTCAGTTTAGTGTACATAAAAAAATCGAGACGTTTTGCCACACGATAGGAGATAAACGTAATTCTGCTTTAAATAAAATAAGCATTTTGCATAAAATGCACCTGTACTCTATGACCACACTTATTTTAATCATATGATCCTATAAAGCTTTGAGTAGTCTTTAGAACTATTATTAACTATATATCTTATAGCATGCCTTTTTTCATTGATGTGGGAAGAAGAACAGTTTAAATGGCTATGGGCTATATTATAATAATAATAAAGATTACCTATTCCACCCGTCAATAAAAAAGAAGAATTATAGGCTGTATAGTGATGAATAATTCTATATACTAAAAAAAATGGTATGATTATCAAACTTAAAGAGGGTTGCGTGCACACTTTTTCTTCACTGTAGATGCTCTAGTTCTTCTATACTAAAACAACATGGTACAGAATGAAACCTAAAAGGAGTTCCAAGATTTGCAAGGATTCCAAAATCTTTTAAAAGTTTAGCAGTACAAAAAGGTTTCACAGTCGAAGTTATAGGCAAAGTTCGATATACTATCACTGAGTCCACACATATTCTCCAAATATATACTTCTATTCACCTATAACTATGCCCAAATCTCATATGTCTTTCTCTATACTTTATATCTATATACATTCCTCATATCTGTATTTAAATCCTTACTTCTATATCTAATCCCTTATACCTATACATAACCCTAAGTAAGTATATCTTATCCGTTATTTTAACGCGTAATTCGTTGTTTCTATGCCTAATCTTTCACTTCTGCAGCTAGCCTCTTATGTGCATGCTTAAAACATATTGCCTTCGTCTAACCCCTTATGCCTATTTCTATTCTCCTCTATGTATAACCCTTATATTTATATCCGTAATCCCTTGTTTCTATAGGTTTCTTGTACGCCTATTTCTGACCCCCTGCATATATGTGTATCGGCCTATCTCTATATTTACCCATTATAGTTATGTTCATCTTGCGTACATTCTTTCTTGTCTATGTTAGACTTTAAACTGAACACATGTCGCATTTTGTGAACTAACTTGAACACAAAGAAATATATCACGATTATAAATCTGTTTGCTGAAAAATCATTCTGTTATACGAAAAAGTGTTAGTAATTTGATGTGTCAGTACAATCAAGCAACACACATGGAAAAACCTATTGTTAATCTATAACTACAACGCTCCATGAAACACAAACACAGAGAGATGCTGAAGCCAGTTGATACTATGTTTATTTCAGTAAAAAGTAAAAATTTGTAAGATGTAATATGGAGATTTAGTTGCGGCATCATTAATGCATTGCCTTTATTGCTTTTAACAAATGCCACCATATACAAAAGTATAAAATTCAAACAGAGTAATGAAATATTTAAACGCGAATACAATTGCATTATAGATAGGTAAAAGTAGAAATGATTTAGATCGAACGAATGTTTAATTCGTGGACATCTTATTTAAATTATAAATGAGACGACAAAGGAAAACAGTCTATTATCGGAGCCAGAATTCGAAACAGTCGGATGTTTTTTGAATAACTTTTGATAGGAACAAGATAGAGATCTGCGGTTTTCAGCGTTTGATAGTCAAGACCCATGATCATAGTTTCATAAGCAAAATCTTTTCTGAAAAAAATTTCGAAGATCGGCTTTTTAGAGGATTTCTGAAAACTGCCATAACGGTCTATTGATTTTTTTACATATTCGGAATCAGCATCAAAAACTGAGTCGAATCACAGATATTTCGAATCTTTGCACGAACTCTTTTTCGTCCAAAAAATTCATCCCTGGCCCTCCTGAGAAGTCGATCAAAAATTAAAGTCAGTCAAAAAGTCACTTGAACAACGGAAAGCAAGTTCGGAGCTACTAAAATGCTAGTAGAACACAAAATGGCAAATGAATAAACAATAAAAACGGAGTTTTGACTGACTTCATTTTTTGACCTATCCCTCATGGGAAGCAGGAGGGACTTTTTCGACGAAAAAAAAAAGCTCGTGAAAAGTTTCGAAACATATGTGATTCGACTCAGTTTTTGGTGCTGATTCCGAATATGTAAAAAAATCAATAGACTGTTATGGCAGTTTTCAGAAATCCAGCGTGGTTTTCCAGAAATCCTCTAAAAAGCCGATCTTCGAAATTTTTCTCAGAACGGATTTTGCTTATGAAAATATGCTTCTGGATCTTGACTATCAAACGGTGAAAACCGTAGATCTCTATCTTGTTCCTATCAACAGTTATTCAAAAAACATCCGACTGCCTTGAATTCTGGCGCCGATAGTAATATCGATCATTTACAACACCACAGAGCTGTAGAACTTGATTTTTTTCTATAGATGATATTGAAAGTGAGGGTTTTTTTTAACGCTCTAAATAAACAGAAACACTTTTCGTTCATATGTCATTTCATAAAAGATTCTTAAATGTCTTTTTATACACCAAAAAATCGAAATCGAAAAAAGTAAATTTTGGGGGGAGGGGCGGTCTTAAGTCAGACTTATTGAGTACTAGCTGCTATCCATTGAACAGTATGAAATTTATCTTTCTTATCTAGTTCATCAGATATTTTTTTATATACACATGTTCACAGTAGCATTTATATTCAGTTTTCTTTTTATTTAAGAAAAATATTGAAATAAACTTTGCATTCTTGTTTAAAAAAGAAACTAAATCTGATTTGTTTTAATTTTGTAAATAAAAATAAAAATACATAATACTATTGTTCTTGAACCACAATCCTGTTCTAATTACAGACAGCAATACAACTAGACCATCGATTTATTACTATTTAGTGATTATGTTTATAAGATAAACTTTTGTTATTTTGAATTTTCAAAAATATAATACTACTGTGCGTTTGTTCAGTTCAAGGTTTTCGAATAATCTATGTTGGAAAAATAAAACTTAATATTGGCTTAATCTCTTGATATAACAGCAGAAAATCAATCAATGAAATTAGGAATATTCCTACTATCTTATTTATATATTACTGGTAACCATTAACAACAGTTGTTACTTTTATATAAATTGAAGTTTCTCTAAGCGTAATATTTTGAAAGCCTGTTGACATTAAATGTTTCAGACTCTGAAGTCTCTCGAACATGTTTTGTACTAAGTATGCTCAACTGAATTGTATATCATCGAGATATAACTTTAGATAAATTTTAACTGTGTCTTAGCACCATCTACATCTTTTGTTATCGAGTGAAAAAGACAATAGCGAATGAAATCAAGTAACAAATCTCATAGCGACATATCTACCAACTCAACTGAACTACCGCGTTCGCAGGTCGGAAATACACCAATAAATTCTGAAATTTTATTCATTCAACCAATATGTCATCATCAAATATTCAGTCAACATTGAATTTCACATCTTCAAGTGTAGTTTCACCACCTTTACCAAGTGTATTTGAATTACTTGCTCAAGAGCGTTTGACTGATTTAATTCGTCCGTGTCTTCGGCAAATTTTTAAATTTTTACACGAAATTCGTCCAATATCAAATTCATTACGAATTCTTTATAAATACAAAGATGAATTTATATTACTTATTGAAAGTATTGTTCAATGGCTTTATTTACATTTCTATTCGGCTTTAATCGGTGAACATTTTTATGGATTAAAACGAACAGCAAATCATCGATTACGTTCACTTATATTTTCTGTATTTTTACCTTATGTTAAACTAAAACTTGATTCCTTACATGAACAACTGTCTACGAATAATAACAATCGTCAAACTAGATTTTATATCATACTTCAAATTTTACCTAAAATTCAAGTAAATATCATCTTTTCAATAAACCATAAAATGATCATAAAATTAATTCTTTTGCTTTCTCAAAAGATTTTCATCGAAAGTATTTGTTGGCTTTATCGAATAGGTTATGCTTTTGGTCGGATTGAATATTACAGTCCCGAACTTCAATTAGCCGGTGTTAAATTAATCTATACTAAAGATCCATCACCTGTCATTCCACCATCAACTAAAGCTAGTCAATTTTTTTCCATAGTCAGTCAAATTATATCAAGTGGTTTATTTCTTGTGCAATTTGTTGAATGGTGGAATAATACAAATGGTTCAAAGAAATATTCCATCAATGCTAATATTAATCCACCATTACCAACTACTGTTCGAACACAGGCAACAATTGGTAAACGTCAATGTCCTCTTTGTCGACAACCATGTGATGTTCCAACAGCAGTACTTGGTTCGGGTTATGTCTATTGTTATACATGTATTAGTGATTACGTTAAACGTTATCATCGATGTCCAACAACACAACAACCGGTAACAAATGAACAGTTAATTAAAATTTATTAAGATAAATATATTTCGAAACATTTGTTTTTTTTTCTTCTCGTGATCTTATTGGTGTTTTGTTTTTTTACTTATTTCTGTTTGATTTTTTGTGATTCTTTTTTTGTAGATAAACTTTGAAATGTCATACCCGTTTGTAGATAATATTAATGCATCAGAACTTTCAATAATAACATTTCTTTATATTCTCATTGTATTTATTATTATATTACCACCAAGTGAACTTATATCAGCTGGATTATCTATAGAAAATATTTTTTCTTATTTTCTTGCTGAAAATGAAGAAATATCTTTTATACGATATCATATAAAACGTATATCAATTAAATATCTGGTTCATAGTTTTCTTGCATTGGGTTATGTATGTCTATTACTCTATTATTGTGATTGGTCATTAGGTATTTTTAATGCTTGTATTAATCTTTTTACTCAAACATCAACAATTCTTCGATTGATTTTATATATTTGTATTCTTATTCCTGTCATAACATCATTAATTGTTTTACGATGGCATTTAAACGATTGTTATATGCATCCAATTGTTCGACAATTACGTTTATTTATTCAACCAAATAATCAACAACAAGAACAAACATGGCATACAGTTGAATCATCGATAAATACTGAATTTCGTCGATATGATAAATTTACATGTGGTACAGCAACATCAAATGTTCGATGTTATGTACTTGATTCATGGATATTAAAATGTTCAATGTATCATGTTAATATAGCACAACAATCAAATGTACGTGTCGAATTAGTTGATGCGCATGATATACATTTACAAGAAACAAATGAAGAAGTATCATTATCTACACAATATCTTAATATAGTTATTAGAAGTTATGATTCAAGAATACAACCATTTTATATTAGGTAAGAAAAGATTTTTAAAAAAAGTTTCGAAGTCTGTACTTAAGTAATTGGCATTTGATTTCTCGGTTGTAAGAAGCATCTGTATATAACAAATGCGTGAGAAAAAAATGAGTGTTTCAGTATTTTATCAATATCTATGTTGGTTTTATTAGTTACGAATTAACGAGAAACTTCTCCTGATGTCAAATCGCTTGTTGATCGAGACGAGGTTTATTAATATTGAATATCTCATTCAATGAAATAATCTCATTGAGAACTTTATTCGTGCGTGAAGTTTGAAGTCAAAACTCGAAAATCGTTTTTTCACGTGACTTGATGGGAGCCTCAGCTTTTTGTTGAAAAACTCATTCATATTTCGATATCTAAAGAACGAAGGCTCGGGAAACCAAACCGTGGTAGATTTTTCTATTAATCGCTAGTACTCATTAAATAAACATCGTTTCGGTCAAAAAACGATCTGACACATGGAGAGATTCTCTCGTAAGTTCGCATTAAAAAACTCAGCATTTTATTTTCTTCACAACCATAGACATATTTCTATTAAGATTTCTTGTATTCATGCGTTGTTACGTTGAGATATGGAAAAGCGAAATTAACCTTTTTGAAGAACTTGAGAAGCTCTATTATATACATAGAGTTATTTATTTTGATAAAAAAACTCTATCGCACAAAATAAACTGTATTTTTTTATGTTTTCCCTTAAAAAAATATTTTGCACCCTTTGTTACATTCTTGAAAAATTTATGTAACCCAGCCTTGAATTTTTTTTTTTCGGAGCAAAATTAATTTCTTTTTAACGCTACAGAGTTATGCTGTAAAAGTCTGCTTAATTCCGAATAAATACTGTCTTCTCAATTAAGTTCAAACAAATAAGATCTGATATGATAAATTTGGATCCGTTGTCCAAACATTATATTCTCTGTCAATATTTCAGGTTGATATATTCTTTCCTATGAGTCACTAAACAGAGCATATTCGATTGTATCTGAGATAGTTCTTTCAAGCGTTTAAATAGTATTTCATTAGTGAGAAGAAACTGCAAATCATATTGTATATTTGTGTTTAGAAGTTGTTAATGACATGTATTCATAGTCATTGTCTATGATTTTGTATAGAATTGAATGCTGAGATTTTTTTTAAGGCGCAACTTAGTCTGTTACTATTGAAATTGACAAATATATTGAGAAAATACTAGAAGATTTATTTATTCTAATACACACATTAGTTATCTTAGTGTCTTTCTATTTAATATTAAAATATTACATCATATGGCAGAGATAGGAAAATTTCTACACGGTTAACAATGTTGAAACAAGTGTAACTACTAAAATTAAACAAAAGAAAAAAAAATTTCTATTGTAATTTGACTAATTAATTTTCTTTTTCAAGAACAATTATTTCTATAATTGTCGTAAGTAAAGTACATAAAGCGCTTATTATTTTAACTAAATGAAGCAAATTCTTTTTTTTATTTACTAGTATTTAAAAATTTTGATTTACTGAATTTAGATTAAAAGCAAGTGAATATGATGATTTACGAGGTAAACTTCAAGCAAATATTGAAAATGTTAAAAATATTGTTGTACGTCAATCTCTAAGTGATCTATTTGTGGAAGATTTTCGACGACATGTTATGCAAAATCCAAAATATCGATTACCAATAAATCAACGAGTATAATAATTTTTTTTTACTGTTTTGTTTTATAATTAAATGATTTTAATTTTTGCTTTTTTGAGGATTTGGATACATGTATTGGTTGTTTACAAACGAATGCTAATGTTAAATTAGTTAAAAACTGTGATGCACCACATATTGGTCAATGTCAAACATGTTTTTGTCGTCCAATGTGGTGTCTTGAATGTTTAGGTAAATGGTTTGCTAGTAGACAAGATCAAACAAGACCTGATACATGGCTTCAATCAACATGTCCATGTCCATCATGTCGATCAGTTTTTTGTATACTTGATATTTCTTTCGTCGAGTTTTGAACAGACAACAACAATAAACAATCTCATAAAATTAGTTTCTAAATAAATTATTTTTACTGTTTGTCGTGCTTTTATTTTAATAATATTGAACCAGTATTAAAATTCTATACGTAATTCTTATTCTTATTCTTATTATTTTATTATTATGAGCATCAAGGGTTCAGTTATCTTTTTTGTTGTATTAAACTTTCTATTGTATTTACTTGCTAATCGACACAATAGTAACGATAATAATATAAACAATCGTCTTCTAGGTTTTAAAGGCTGTCGTTAAACAAAAAAAAAAAAACCCGCAAAAGAAAAAAATTAAAAATAACACCGCCATAGACACTTGAAACAATCAGCTTTTTTTTCGAGATCATTTCGATGATGATGCCGTCTATGCATGTCTGCTACTGAATGGCTTCATTTTGACACGAAATCCGTATATTGAAGAAGAAGAAAAAGAATTGAGAGAGTTTGTTGCTGACAACTTTTAATTATAAGAATAAGAAGAAAGAAAAAAGTTAAAATATAAGAGAAAAAAAGGTTGCTATTGATAGTATCGGATAAAACAGAGTCCGGCCCGTAGAAGACATGCAAACGAGAGAGAAAAAACAAACAAAAGACTGATGTTTGAATGTTACACAATGACGAATAAAAAAAGTTGATTTTGTTTGATCTTTTTTTTCTACCTATATGCTACCTGTTTAAATCATCATTCTTCATCACTACAGTAAGTACGTCATTCAGCAAGACTTAATCAAGAGAAAAAGAAGAATTAAATATTTTCTTATTCTGCTTCTGTTTACTATTTAGAGGTGAAATTTGAAAAAAAATATTTTTATAACTTCAATTGCCAACTGTTGTTGCTCAAAAACAGACAGTACATTTTTTTCAATTTATCAACAAAAAATATGAGCACTGTATTAGCAAATCGTGCCCAATCAGCTTATCCTCGACCACCGTATCAATCTGGAAGAGATCATCAAGATGCTCATATGAAAAAACGTCCTACAACTAGTATGACTACTCATCAACCTTTTACAAATGTATTCGATGAAGCTGCTCTACGATCACTTGAACCAGCAGCTCTATCACCACCAATAAGTCGTCGTCAACGACCAAAAACTTCTAGTACAATTACAAGAACAAGTACAAGAGCAAGTACACGATCAGCATCTCGAAAACTTCGTTCAGATGAAATTGAAAGTCTTTTACGAAGTCTTGATCGTGATGATGCATTTATTGTTCAAGTTGATTGTTTAGCTGATTATCGAACACTTGCACAAACAATTGATTTACGTAGAACACCACTTGATTGTCAATTATTATGTGCTTTACAACAACGTGAAAATCGTATTGTTCAACGAAATGCTTGTCGTGATGCACGTTTTCGTTCATTAATTGAAATTCTTGCACCACCACATGTACCTGGAACTATTGAACAAGATGATACGAATGATGCTAATCAAAGTACAGTGTCAGAATATCCACCCAGTGATTTACCATATGAATATTTGAAATAGACGTTTTGATTTTTGTTTAGTTTTTTTTTTTTTTTTTATATTAATTTCATCAAAACAAATTCTTTTTTAAGAAGTTAATTCATACAATTTTATATAATTATTGTTAATTTCTTAATGATAATTCAATATATTCTTGACTATAAATATACCATAAGAAAAAATATCGAGCTAAAAATCTACTATTATTTCATTTGATTATTAAATCAATTGGCTACTAATTTATGGTATGTAATGAAAGTTCTATTCAAAGGAAAAAAAAACAGTTTAAATATAATAATGAGATAATGTATTGTTTTATTTTTCGAGAAGACACGTTTAGTTCCATTGAACTTCGACCATTAATAAAAATGTAATTAGTTTAGTAAATACATCTTAGAATAAAGAGATCTTCTTCTATTTTTTTTTTTTTTGAAAATTTGTCGTAATTAATCTAAACTATTTGTTGTATAAGAACATCTGTTCATTATGATTATAAGAAAAAAGTAAATAGAACAATAGTTTGTTTCAATAGCATAATTCTAACAACGTAATAGTCACATGTGGTAACATAATATCCTCAAATATATCATAATATAGAGTGTTTCTATTAGTTATTAATTGTGTCGTAAAAAGTATAGAAGCAATTCAATGAGAATTGGAACAAAATATAATATAGTATCTACTTATTTTTCTCTTGAATATGATTATTAAGCCTTAAGAAATGAGTCATAGAATCGTATTTGTCTAGCTAAAAATAGCCTATAGAACAGGTCATTTTTGCATAATTAGTACATTGCCTACTGACAAGCAATAAATCGAATTCAGTTCGTCAAACATTCACAGATTGGAAGCCTAATATGAACGAATAACAATGAGATTAATTTTCTAATTTCGCAACTCTTTTTTTTTTTCAAAAATCTTATTACATTTCTTTAATAACGGCTATATGCGCCATTTCTTGTTTCTTAGTCATAGTGTCTGCATCTTTCCATAAATCTAATCGGAAGAATATCAAAGCAATACTTTTTATACAAATAACAGTCACATATCATTCAGATAGTGATCAACAAATCAGCGATTATTTCAGATGAAAATAATGGGTACAAGTATCTGTTGAGAATTATCTTTATCCTTCAGGCAATGAAAAACAAAATATGTTTCGGCTTGGCCTATTGCTTGATGTGACGTGTTTTTTCTAAGCATAACTATCTCTAGAATGTGGATGTAAGGACCTAGATCTTTACTTCATCTATACACTCATCACATCATGCATGCACAATTTTCATTATTGCATGTAGTTTGATAAAAATCAAGACAGTTTCTTATTTTCGCTTAATACTAAATTTAATTTACTAAATATTCTCTACTAATATATATACAAGTCATTAGTAAATTATTGTTTGACAGATATGATGGTTGCATATGATTTTTCGAAGTTGAGATAAATGATTACCTGTTAAAATGGAATCTTGATTGTATTCAAAAAATCCTCAAGTTAATCGTTCTTTTTTTAAAGTAGATAAGAAATATATACAAATCAATTTTGTTCTAAATGCTTGTAATCTCCATGACTACTAGATAACATTATTTAACAACATGACACCTGTGTAGTATTGTTCTAAATGTAATCTACTTGCTATTCGTAATTTTGAATGACGAAATGAATTTTAATTCAAATTTACCTACAACAAAATCATAACTATGACAACTCTTGAGATTAGTTAGAACTTTAGAACACGACCTTTCTTGCTTAATCTTATTTGATAGTCATGTTTCAAATGCGTTAATATTGATCTCTTATTGTATCAATTAAGGGCCCCCTCCTCAGAAACGATTTTCCGCTTTTGACGGTTCTTTCATGCTGAAATTTTCAGGGATGACTGATCTTGGAGAGATACGCTTCTAGTAAAAATTTCAGCTCAATTGTTCATACTAGACCATATTTCCAGCTGATTCATGGGTCATTTTTGGCCTTCAGGAAAATCGGCATAACTCCGTCATAAGAAAAGCTAGAGAGCTCGGGCTGGTTTCAAATTAAAGTACATGTCAGTACGCAATTTTTATCCGAACAGAATTTTGATATTTCGTCCTATTCATTTTTTATGAGCATTTTAGTAAGAGGGTCTTAAAATTAGCAGAAAAAATGGTAGTTCAACGACAGTAAATTCCACTTTTCTCAGCCCAGGAATCAACTTTCAAAAATCCGTTCGGACAAAAGTTTACTCTAATCGAGAGCTTTAAAACAAAAAAAAATATTGAATAATACCCAGGACCGGACGGAGTGATTCCAATTTTCCTGCTAAGAAACCGTATTCTGAGAAAAGCGCCAAAGAAGTTTTAGAAATGGAGTTTGATTCAAATGCAGGAAATAATGGTATATTGATAATATTTATGTGGAATTTTTGAAAGCACGCAATAGATGGCGTAAGCTAGCACTACAGGTCGTACTATATGATATAAGAATATTTATTCCATGATGATAGAAGTAAAAAAGTAGTCTTCCCAAAAATAACAAAAACCGCGAAAATCGCTCCGAAAACCAGGTACTGAGGTAGAAATCTCCTACGAAGATCTATAAAAATTTGACCTTTTTTTAAAAATTTATATATATTCTGAAAGAGGAAACTTCGCTGCATCTTTCTATGATAAAAACTCGACTTTGATTACTTTTCCAAAAAATGGATTTTGTGAGGGGGGGGGGGGCCCTTAATAAATATTACAACGAAAATAAATATACCTACTAGTTAATTTTCAAACTAAGTATAATAATCAACAAGTTATTACTTTGAATGATGTAAAAACAATAACTCAAAAAGACAATATATTGTTATAAGAAGATTGTGCATATATCAAAAGAAAATATCTCCAACAGTTAATAACTAATATATTCAATTATTAATACTCTTTCGAATTTTTTTTTCAAAACACATATGTCTATCAGCGCCATCTAACAAAATGTCTTTTGAGAAGAACATTGGTAAAGCCAAAACGAAGCTTGTGAATCATTCAATTAGATGTAATATAAAAAAAAAAAACTGATAAAACTTTTACATATATAAGTACAGTAGATCTTCAAACTATATACTTTCTGTTCTTAGATATAACTGTATTTATAATAAATAATGATAACATTACATCGAATCTCTTGCTTTACTTGTCGACATGTACGATCTGTTATATTCACTCGGGCGATTCATATTGAACCTGATTCAAATGAAAAAATTATACCTCTATCAAAATTTGATTTAAGTAAACCATTGATTGGACGTACTAGTGGTATGTGTTAGAGATACACCAGGTTATATATTTCTTTTACATGAGAATTATGAAAACAACCTTTATATTTAGCTGAACATACTGCTATTTCATTACTTCGTCCGGACATGCCTGCCGATTCTGAACTACTCAAAGTAGCTATTATTGGAGCACCGAATGCCGGTAAAAGTACATTTGTTAATCGTCTCATGGGTTGGAGAGTAAGTTTAACACATTAAAAATAAAAACTATTGATAATACAAGTATAAAGAAGTTTCAACAGACTAAACTTCAGTTAATATCTTTAAATAGAAATCAATGTAAAATTATGCTGAGGTATATTTTTAATTATTTAGATTTCATCTGTTTCCAAACGACCACACACAACTCGGCATCGAACAACAGGAGTTTTGACTGATGCTAATAAACAAATTGTAAGAAGTATTTTTAATTTAATAATTTTCTATTCTTGAATATTGAAGGTTTTTCTTGATACACCTGGTTTTGTAGCACCATGGAGAAAAAAACGGTATAAATATATAAATCAATTTTAAAATGACTTACATTATATTGTTTTATATTTGTAGACATAATCTAGAAAAATCTATGATTCTCGATCCTCATTCATGTTTATGGGATGCTAATTTGAGTATGATAAAAAAAGAAATTTTTTCTTAATTGTTATTTTATTAAATAATTATTTTTATTAGTTTGTGTTGTACATGATGTTTCTAATCATTGGCTTCGTTTTAAACTCGACGAAGAAATACTCAAATGTCTTTATGCTCATCCCGATAAAGAAGCTATTCTTATTCTTAATAAAGTAAAAAACGAAAGATTTGTTTTTTTTTTCTTTTTTTCTTTTTAATAAAAAACAACTTTTAGGTTGATTCTATAAAACGTAAACGTATGTTACTTGATGTTACAACTGTTCTTACAGATGGTTCACTTAATGGAATTCCGTATCGTCTTGATTCTCCATATCATCGTAATGGTGAACTTGATATGGAACGTTTATTTCTTAAAACAGCTCATGAAATGAATATACCATTACCTAAAACAGAAAATGATATTAAAAGAGAACATCTTTTAACTGATATGAAAGAATATGAAAACAAATTATTAAATATTCAATTAGAAAATGTTAACCTTGATTTAGAAGAAAATCAACTTAAAGAATTAATATCTCAACATGAAGAAAAAGGTTTAACATTAGAACAACTTTCAGATGATATATCTTCCCATATACCATATAAATCGATGAATGATATTAATCCATTTGAATTTAAAAAAGATCTAATAGAAACAACAAATTGGCATTTATATTATAAAAAATTATCACAAATTCGTTTATTTACAAGAGATCGTTCAACATGGCCATATTTTAATCAAGTTTTTATGATTTCAGCTAAAAAAAATCAAGGCATAGCAGCTGTTCGAGTTAGTTTTTTTTTTTGTTTTTCTCTTGTTCTTTTTTTCTTTACAATAACAAAACTAAATTTTTCTTTAGAAATATCTTTTCTCACGTACAAAATCAGCACCATGGATATTTCATCGAAATTTTGTTACAGATCAATATCCACAAGAAATAGCCGAAATGTGTATACGTGAAAAAATGTTAGAATATTTACCAGAAGAAATTCCTTACAGTTATCTTATGGTAAGTTTTAATTTTTTGAATGTCTTAGAAATAGTTGAATCTTGAAAGATCAAAATAATTTTGTTGTATATCGATAGACATATCTCCCAAATTGTTAAACTATCTGCGATAAATCCATTTAATATTGGTCTCTAGGTATATATACATTAGTTTACGAGTCATAAATCAGACTTTGGTATGCACCTCACATAGATGATAATTAGTTACTACAGAACAAGCGCTTTTGGTCTCGGCCAAAAAAAACTGATCCTAACCTTGATGAGGAGAAAACTTCGGCCTCGGTCGCAGTCAAAAAGAAATTTTTATCTTGAAATCGGGACTATCTTGCTTATATCTACGTGGAACTGATGCATCCCTTCTGTGATTAAATTAGACTACAAATAAGATTTATTTAATTTTTATTAATATTTTGAATTTTTTTGTTTTTGTAGACAAATGAACGATGGGAATTAGATGAGAATGATGTTCTCAATATGACATTTCTAATATATCCTCGAGCTAAACAGTTGAAACGTGATGTTGTACGTAGAATTTTTGTTTGTCTTTTTTTAAAGTTTTAATTCAAATTTATTTTTAGAGTGTATTATTAAAAAATCATGGTGAAGCAATTAAATTAATCAGTATTGAAGCTGAAAAATCTCTAACAACAACATTTCGTTGTGAAATTAAATTAAAACTAATTGTTAAAACTACTCATGAATAAAAAAAAAACAAATCCGTTGAATACATATATAACATATAATACCCATGCAATAGGACACAATGTTATTTTCTTAAATCTCATAATAAAAAATGAACTGCAAGGAAATATTTTGTCCTACATTCATAAATAAAATGAGACAAGAAAAACCTAAAGAATTTTTTGCAATTTTATTGTTAAACAATGGTTAGCTATAATTAATTACCATCTGGCAAGATATTTTTGATAAGTTCATATCAATATTAGAAAATTGGATAAGATACTTTTTTTATTTTTATGAATGTATGACAAATATAAATTATCTAACATGTGTGAAAGAGAAGAATACTTTCTTCCAGCACGTGTTTATGAAGATATTATAATAATCGACATTGTGTTCCATTACCTTTGTATTTTATGATATTTCATTTGTTTTGTTATTTTCTAGATGACTGAAGAAGATATTGATATCTATTATAAAACTATACTTAATCTCATATCTTTGGCTGGCAAAGTAAGTTGCTTCTTTTATTTGTCTATCGAAACTCATTGAGAACAAAAAAAAACCCATGTGTATAATATTCTTTGTTGTTTAACAATAATGAGTCAACAATGGCGTGTTATTTGACTAAATAAAAAACAAAATAGAACAGAATAGATAAAATTATTTTATATAGGTTGTATGTGAAGGTTTTTCAATAACAAAACGAGTTGAAACTAAAGATGGTGCAGCTGATCTTGTTACTGAATTTGATCAACGTGTTGAAGAAATTTTAATAAAAAACTTACAAGAAAAATTTCCTACACATAAGTTAGTAAACAATCATATGAAAATAATTTATTTTTTGTTAAAATTAATTTTAGATTTATTGGAGAAGAATCTACTGCAATTGGAATTAAAACAACATTTAGTGATGATCCAACATGGATTATTGATCCAATTGACGGGACAACTAATTTTGTACATGGGTAAAAGAACAACAAAAAAATCATAAGTCTAAACCTTATCTTCGTTTTTTTTTTTTGATATTATTAGTTTACCATTTGTTACTATTTCTGTTGCACTTGCTATTAATAAACAAGTAGTTCTTGGTGTAATTTATAATCCGATTATGAATGATCTTTATTCCGCTATTCATGGCAAAGGAGCATTTAAAAATGGTCGACCTATTAAATGTTCTAAACAAACAAGTTAGTAGTTTTTTTTTGTTCAGCAAAACACAACATGACCTATTCTATTTTTTAAACATAATTTTTTAGTTAAAAATTAAAACAAGTAAAGGTATGCCTGAAAAAAAAAAAAACTTTTCCTAATCCGATTATCCCTTTGAATAATTTTGCATGAATTGTATCTATTAGAAAAGTTTATTTTGCATGTTTTTATAGATCTTGCTTTATCTCAAATACTTGGTGAATATGGTTCAAGTCGAGATGCTAATATTCTCAATGTGAAGTGTAAAAATTTTCAAGTTATTATAGCAAAAGTTCATAGGTAAAAATGAAAATAAAAACAAAAAAAAAAAAAGTTAAAATTCGTTTTATTTTAGTATTCGAGCACTTGGTAGTGCAGCTATGAATTTATGTTTAGTAGCTGAAGGTGCTTGTGATGCTTATTTCGAATATGGTGTGCATATTTGGGATTATGGTAAGAAAAAGAGTATTATGATAATATTGATACGATAGGTATCCACATTTCAAAGTCAATATACTCAAACAAAATATTCAAGTAAACTGTTCATTCCGATAAAAGAAAAGGACAACTTATTGTGAAGAATAATATCTTTCTTATTGAAGATGAACTGAAAACCGTCATAATAGAAAATTTTGAGTTGATATGATATGAGAACGTACGGTTAATACGATAATAGATATTTACCTTTTTAATAATTCATTTTCTTTTTCATGTTTTAAGTTAGTTCGTCGTATGATTTATCATCATGTGTAGATGAATATTCATTAAAAATGAATTCTTTTAGTAAAACAATATCACTTTTGTGATCTATTCTCAAATACAATAGATCACTCAATCATGATCGAACTAGTATTTACTCCTATATTTTTATATAAATTATTAGTTTGAAAAAGTAAAACTATTTAAAAACGTCAAAATCTCGTTAATTGCGGATCCAGCCAAGTATATCCGATTGAGTTATAATCACTAACCTACAATTCGAGTAACGACGCACTTATACTAAATCAACTAAAATCGTTCATCTCTTAGAACGTATAGTTCACTTGATTATTCTGTAGGGTATTGTGACATATAGCCCTCTCGATACTAAGTATAAAAGTAATTATGATGTCTATAAAGAAAAACAAAAATAGATTCTTAATTTTTTGTTTACTAATTGTGACTGCTATTCTTTTAATAGCTGCTGGTGATTTAATAGCTCGAGAAGCTGGTGCTTATACATGCGATCCATCAGGTAAAATTAATTAATTAATCTATCAACTAAATATTATTTTGTCAGGTATTCCATTAAATCTCATTCATCGTCGTATTTTATGTGCAGCAACAAAAGAACTTGCTGAACAAATTTCACCTTTACTTACACATATTGATTATCCTCATGATTAAAAACAAAAAATATCAAACATATAATGTTAATAATTTAATTAAGAAAATAAATGATTGTGTTTTAAATAGATAAATCTTCTTTTTCGTTTTTCTTTTATTTTAGATGATAAAATCATATATTATTTTTGTTAGCATCATTATTACTATCAACTTTGCATTTAGCACTGCAAATGATATATGTATTGCTCAATCAATGAAAGACTGTCAATCATGTTTGAATGTAACAGGTTGTGCTTTTTGTAAAAATACTAGACAATGCACTTCATATAAGATTGGACAAACGCCTCCTTGTTCCATATCTGATTTTCAAACAGAAACATGCATAGGTACACAAAAATAATGTTGTGTTATGTTTTATCATATATTGAAAAATATTTATTTTAGCTACTGCTCAAACATTGATTATTATTCTTGGTTCAGTTGGTGGTGTTGTTTTAATTGCTGTATTGATTATTATATGGTGTATTTGCAGAAAATGTAAACAACGTTCAATAATATCGTTAGTTGATGATGATAAAAAAAAAACTGAATAATAGAAAATGTTTTTTTTTTCTTTTTAATATATATTTTTAGAGAAATGAAAAAAGATCAGGCACATGATCAACGAATGGAAGAACGACGAGCTGCAGCTGAAGTTCGGTAAGTAATTGAAGTATTTTATTAAATAAAAGTTTATTTTAATGATTGATTAGATCAACTGAACGACATCAAGCAGCTGATCAACTTCGTATGAAATATGGTATGTATGAAACTTTTGTGAAACACAATTTCACAGAAGTCTTGAAGTATATCGGGTAGAAATTTGAACACTCTTGCATAGTGTGCATTTTTTATGTGACTTTCTTTACTCAGAAATGATTGAATGTGACACAGAAAAATATTTTTTGGAAAGAAAAAGTTATTCGACGAAAAATGCCTGAATGAAATCGTTGTCCGTAGTTTTCTCAGGAAATTTTTTTTCTTCAAAATTGTTTTGTGCTATATATCATTCAACGCAGTTTAATGTGCTGATTTGGAATATACTATTTTTTTTGATGAAATATTTTTCCGAAGCCAGAAAAACTTGGATTTTTTCTAAACCCACTGTGCAGTCCAGAAATGTTCACGCTAACAGCGGTTAGAGATAGTAGATAGAAGACTATTCTGACAAAATTTGAAGGTTGAATATGGATGCATTGCTCATTTTACGGGACTAGCCGCTCGGACGACACTGTAGAAAAATATATTTTGGTTTTTCTTAGAAATTAAAAATAATTCGATCTACTACTGTGTAGAGCTTGACTTGGAGACTCAAAAAATGAACTTCATTTTTTTATTGAACATTTTATTTTTATCAAATATAAATTTTCTCGGCAGTATCATGATTTTCAGATTAATTTTTTGGTAACTGGCTTTTCAATTTTTCTTTGAGAACCGTAACGAAGTCATTTATACCATTGGATAGACGATATTTTTTTGAAGTATATTTTCCTATATTTAAATCTTGAAAAGCGTGTAATTTTTATTTTTAACTAAATGTCCGCCTAGATGCACACTGTATCTCCCCTTACGTAAATTGTGATAGTCACCTTGGCAATTTTCTCGTTGAGAGTATCAATAATAGTTACGTTATGTTTCACATTTTAATCTCACAGGGAGTGCGTGAATAAATTTTTTAAATAATAATTAATGAAATTTTTTTTATTTATAGGTCTTCTCAGAGACAAAGATAATGGTAATAAATATGAAATTATGACTTAAATAAGAGAATGTTTAATTATTTACATATGCATTAAAAACAAGTAAATCGAACTTGATTATAGATATATATGTGGTGAACAGTAAACCGTATGCAATACTCTTGATTGATTTGTTTTTTTTTCTTTTTGTCCATATCAATTATTTTTTTAAAAGTATTTTCATGTGATTATATTTCTTTTTTCTTTTTTAAAAAATATTTTATGGTTTTTTATGTTGATTATTATTTTATGATTAAAAGAAGAACAAGAATTTATAAATAAAGTTAATTTTTAAGATTGTTTGTTGTTTTTTAAAGATGATATTTCCTTCAGTTCGTCTCATTATTAAACAATGTCATAATCAATGGCGTTCATCTTTATTTCGTACTGTTGTTGTTATTAATCAACGACAATTAGCAACAACAGCAGGAAAAGAAAAAAAAGCCTCTAAATCACAGGAAAATCAGACTCTTGTTCAATCGACAACAGATAATCAAATTGAAGTAGCAACATTTAAAGAAAAAGGTAGAAAATATTTTTGTTCGAGAATTTTGTTTTTAGATTAAAATTCTTTATCATAGCTCAACAAGCTGCTAAAGACACTGGTTATTCTCTTATTGTTATTGCTGGTCTTGCAACATTAGGTGGTTTATGTTATTTAGTTTTACATGAACTCTATTCAAGAGAAACACCAAATGGAATTTATAAAGAAGCATCAAAAATGTGTTTAGCTAATACTGAAGTAAGTTATATTCAAAAAGAATAAGAAGAACATTTTACGTTTAATAATTTATTTTATAGGTACAAGATGCATTAGGTACACCTATTCTCGTTCATACAACACCACAAATCGGGTCCATGCGTATTAATAATGTTCGGTAAAGACTTTTTCTAAAAGTAGAATTTAACATGAAAGTGAAATGAATATTACTTATCTTGCAAAAAATTCTTACGAAACTTTTATTAAAATTCTTGAGTTTAAAATATTATAGTCTAACTATTTAGTTCAGAACTTTCTTGATAATACTTGAAAGCTGATAGTAGAATTGTGATTGGTAATGATAAACAATCGGTCTAGGATTCTTTTTAATTGATCATAAAAGTATTTGTTTCGCAATAGTACGTTCAACATATTTTATCAACTCACTTTAATATCATATTGTCGAAACGAAATCAAATAGTGGGATGATCAAAAATTTGTTAGAAAAGATGTTTGTGTGTTTTGGACTTGCTAGAAAGTATTTCCATCCGACAAGTCAAATGCTATGAGTTTGGAAGTTGTTTTCAAATATGAGCTTCGAAATTTTATCTTAGTTTTTATTCGAGAATAATGCAATAATCTTTGAAAAATCTCAAAAAAAACTTCGTCTGAAGAGAAAATTGTTTCGTAAATTTTTGTATTTTCATTATTGCGATTCGAAACTAAACGTTGGAATCTTTATTTATATATATCAACTTGTAAATCAGAAGGCTATCCTACAAAATATACTGTTTTTTTTCTTGTCTTTCAAGAAAGCATCTCAATTTTCGTTTTTCTTAAATACTCATTTTTGAAAAATCGATAACTTTTTCATATTGAAAGGAACTCTTGGAAAAATGCTTGTAGCCTTACTTGGGTAAAATCTATAACTTAGTTCAATATGACATTTTGTAAGGAAGTGCTCACTGTACAAAACAATCGACTTGGACAATATTTATCATCTTCGAAAACTACTCTTGAAAAAAAAAACAGATACTAAATTACTAAGCCCATATTACAAAAAAACACACGAAATGCTGGTAGCAACCTATAGTTTTTGGTTTGTCTGAAACATTTTCAAGCAAACTATAATGAATAAGCATGTTCAACGCAAGCGTCGGCTTACATTGTTTCGTGCAAACTAATTTTTTGAGCTTTTTAAAGATTATTTCACTACTCTCGAACAAACAGTGAGACTAAATTTCAAGGCTCATATATGAACAGAGCATCCTAACTTATAGATCTTGACTTGTCAGAAACATTTTCTAACAAGTCAAACGTAGACAACAAGAACCTTGTCTAAAAACTTTTCGATTACTAGTTAATTATTATCATATTAATTTGTTGGTCTCATCATTTCACATTAGTACTATTACGGAATAATCTCTACCAGTTGCAACTCCGTCTGAAAGATCTTTCTTCATTAATCTATCATATTCGTATTGTTAGACTAAACATTTTTTTTTTCAATTTATTCTTACAGTGCCAAAATGTTTGACGAAAAAGGTCATCGAGGTATGACACTTACATTTTATTTAACGGGTAAAGAACGATCTGGTGTTGTTGGTGTTAATGTTCAAAAGGTATTTCATTAATATTCTGATAAATAATTGCTTTCTTTTCTTATCTTTCTCTTTCTTATAGAATATATCAAATAAATTTGTCTATGATTATATTCTTGTTCAACTTGATCGACCATGGCGTGGTCGAAATATAATTCAAGTACATCAAAATATTGATGCATCAAAAGTAACACCTCAAACAATAGATTTTTGAACGCACAAAAAAAAAACATTTCTTTTTTTGTGTACATAGTTATTTTTTAAAAATATAACATGTTCTTTCTCCGTTTAATTGTCTTTAATAACATTGCCGAATAGTTGTTATCATAGTTTTTTCTGTTCGAGCATCTTGATCAATATAACTATTATGTTGTAAACCTATACGATTATGTTTCTTCTTTCGACTTGATCGATATCGATGATTAATCATTGGTGTTGATGATGTTCTTGATGGTAGACAATATTTACGATATGTAAATATAATAATAGCAAGTAATATAATTAATAATGATAATCCAACTAATGCACATAAAATATAAAGTATAAATGTAAGAAGTGTAAAACGAGGAGGTGATGATGATTCTTCTGTTGGTGAAACAATTGATGAATCATTAAATTTCCAACGAAAACGAAAGAATGAACGACGAAATAATGAAGAATTACTTATATTAAAATATGAATGAATTGGCCATGCTGGTGTTGTTGGAATTGTTTGTTGAATTGTACATGGACTAGTTGTTCGAACTAAATCAATAAAAGGAAAAAAAAAGCAAAGATTTATTCGATTGAAATAAAATTATCATTTGATTTACAAACCATTTGGACAACTTTCAACAAGTATATCATCAATAGCAAACCAAGTTGTTGAATCATTTTTATTATCTGGTAAATGTCGAATTTCAATTTCAATCTAAACGAAAAAAAGAATAAAGTAACATTAATGCTTTTTTTTTTAATATTTAAATAAAATTTTTATACACGAAATTCTTCTGCTGCTTTAAATGTAATATTTGCTTGTTGCCAAAGTGATTCAATATCATCTGATGTATTACTATTTTCATATTTTAATGCTTTCCATTGACCTAATGATAATATTTGTATTCCATCTTTTTTTATAAGAAAAACTTCTATTTGATCTTGTTCATTTTCAATACTAAATTGAAATGTTAATCGAATATTGAATGAACATGATGAAGTTAAATATAACCATGATGATGTAATTATATCTGTAAAACCCATTTGTTTATCCTTATGACTTCCATCAACAGCAATTAAAACTAAAAATTTTATTTTCAATTAAATATTTTTAATAAAAACAAAACAAGAAAAAAAAAGAAATATTTATTTTTTTTATACCTTTATCATTTGTTTCTTCATCAAGATTTCTTATTTGCCATCGTCGACCTATATTCCAATTACAAGTACCCGAAGAAAATGTACATCGTTGATTATATTGTATAGATGAAACAATTATTATCATTAAATCAATGATATACAAGATCAAACCTTATAAAATAGAGAATTATAAACACGCCGAATTTCGCATTTCAAAAGAAAATTCATACATATTCTCATTGCTTTTTGGGACGGAGGATGAATAGAATAAATTCTTTATTCTATGTTTTAACAATTCAATTAAATATGTACAATATGTTTATGTGTACGTAGTCGAGTCGGTCATGATCATCAATCGTTTTCTATTGACAAGTGGATCATACAATTAAATCATCTGGTCGGCTTGATAGAACGACTATCGTTGCAATGCGACGGTAAAAAGAAATAAAGATCTAGCTTCTTTATCCTAAACAACTACATCAATGTTTTATTTGAAGTGATTCTTGACAATTTTCTTAATAATTAACCATTTCAATAGGAAAACAAAAAGAAAAACAAACAACATTGTACATGATTTTCTTTTGGTAATTTTTTCCTTGACAAAAGTATATATTAACCAAAGCAAAATAGATGAATCAAACCTCAACGACTCAATTAATCGAGTAAACGCTCTCAAATACGTAAACATGTAATTTTTGTTTGTCGCTTGTTTCATTTGGCCCTACGAGGCTTTTTTTTTCTTTTTTATTCATGTGTGTGTATCATAGAGAACAGTTTTTTTCTATCCAATAAATATTTTCATAGTACGCATTATTACATGTCATTTAACGCATATCGATCATAAAGTAAAAGGAAAAACAGTACTTGTATTCAGTCATAAATCGATTTTTCGTTGTATAGTTTTTGCCAATGTGGAGCCGTAGAAAACCAAAAGTTCGGAAAGAATTGTCTGCAAAAGGTTGTGTTTTTCTCATACATATGTATATATACTAATATTGATTTATTTTCTATCATAGAAATTGCGGTACTTGTTGAAGCTGCTCAAGTTAGTGAGCAAGGTAATATATATATATAATCGATATATAATCACATGTTGACTGTTTTTTTGTTGATCGTTTGTAGAAATTCGACAATGGCATACAGTATATCAATAATTTTGTATTTTCTAGAAAAATTTCAAATTAAATATTTCCTTTTAATATAGGATTTTCTTGAACATTATCCATCAGGTCGTCTAGATAAAAAATCATTTATTGAATATTATGGAAAATTACATCCAAATGTAGAAACACAAATTCCATTCGAGTAAATTTAATAATATGTTGTTTTGTTTTTATGTTTAATATTATTCAAATATTTAGACAAATATTTGACATGATTGATAGAGATATTGATGGAACGATTGATTTCAATGAACTTTTAGTGGTGATAGTTCTAATGGGTCGTCTAACTGATCTCGGTTCACAACTTTCTTTCGCATTTGATATGTTAGTTACTAAATTCTAATAATAATCTTTTATATATATGTTATTTGTTTTTTTGTCAGGTGGGATGAATCAGAGGATGGAGAAATCGATCAAACAGAGTTAGCTAATGTTATATCAGCTATAGTTCGTTTTATTTTTGGATTATTATTATCGAAGATAATTTATATTTATATTTTAGTATGATCGTGCCGGTATAACTGATCGAAAAGGTGAACGAGATCCGAAGCAACGAGCAAAAGAAATTATTAAAAAACTCGATATAAGTGGTGATAGAACATTAACTAAAGAAGAATTTATTACGGGGTATGATATTACAGATAATTTTTTCAATGAGTTTATTTTTTGCTAATTTTTTTCTAGTTGTAAAAATGATCCGGTAATTCGTAATTTATTTATGCCCAATAAATAAATATTCGTGAAATTTCTTGAACTGTTCAAAATAATTATTATTGTATTCGGTTTCTTTTCGATTTGAAATAAAAATAAGAACAATACAGTATCAATGTGATCATCTTTGCATTCTGTAGTTCATCATTGATTTTATTTATCTGATACTCTGTATAGAATATGCGTGTGTGGATGTGGAGTGTCCGTTTGGATGTGATGCAAGAGACTATTAATTGCCACACTCACGTTCATCACATACCCCACCCCATAGTGAATAGAACTTAAATATATATGTGATCAAGCTGTAAAAAAGAAATATTTAAACAGCTTGAAGTGCTTTGGAACTATTTATGATTTATTTAGTTTAAAATTTTGGAATAGCATGTTTGTGCTTTAGAGCTATATTTAAAATATGAAACAATATATAATCATTTTTTCTTCAAAATATTGTACTATTTGTATTTGATGTTATTATCGATTCAGTAAAGTTCATTAGTTTTTTTAATGGTTTGTTTTATTGATTTGTTTTTCGGATTAGGTCAGAGTTGATAGTTTTATTAAAATATCTTGTTTTAATTTGAAATTATTATCGTATGACTATTGCTTGAAATCATCGAATAATTCATTGGAAATTAAAATAAAATTTTTGATATGAAAGAATTTTATATATGAAGATAATCAGATTTTGATTATCATTAATAAATAAACATTGTGAAATATTTATTTTTACTAATGCTTCAGTTATTTGTCGTTGATCTGAATTATTCAATGCAGATATAAGATCATGAAATAATTGCTCTTTTATTTAATCTATTGTCAAACATGTAATATTCGATGTTAACAAGATTAAAAATTCGTGTCTGAGAATTAATAAATAATAGTAATGAAATTACAATTGATTGAAAATTATTATTTAGCAGTAATCAAAAATGAAAATGATGTTATTTTAGATGAAATATTTTATAAATTAGTAAACATAGATATAGGTGTATCAGAGAAATATTAGAATATGATAATGAGTGTTTAGGACTAGATGAAGTGATGAATATACTTGAAGTAACAATAGAAACTGAAAAATGACTTGAAAGACATATTGAGATAGGAAGTCAGAATGAATTAATATAAAATATTGTTGACGAATATTGACGAATCGATTCATCAATAGTTGTAATTATTATCAATGACGTTTCTATTTCTGTCGTATAGAGTTTGATAATTGCGTATTAGTTGCAGGTGAATTATTCCATGTAGAACTTGTTACATCAGTAAAATTAGTTATAAATGATATTGAAGATGATAAAGTAGTAGAATTTGTTAGAATATTTTTTTCATCTTGTTGAATTGTGAAAATAATCTGATTAATTTGTTGTTGTCGTCTTAAATAGTCATTTGGTAATCGATTAGATATATATTGAAGATATTTTCTCTTCAATTAATTTCATTAACAAAATGATGACGATTGTATGTTAACTACGTGTTGATTGTAATATTACAATTATTATTCAGGCTTATTTAAAAAGAAAATTAATTTATTATGTTATGTGTATAAAGCTGAATAATATAGTTGTTCTAGTTAGGCTTATTTCTTTTTTGATATATGAATCAATATTTTAGTTATTAAAAGTGCCGTTAAATATATGGTAAACTTAATAAGATATCGTTGTATTGATGTTAATAAAAACAGTACCTAAAATGAAATCACTATAAAAAAAAAACTCGTCAATTTAAATAATCAAATTTTCCATCATGAAATTGATGTCTAAAAAAATATCTAATGAAACTTTGTGAATTCATATAGACAATTTTGCATCACGATTAGAATTTCTTTATGAAACACGGTCTAAAAGGAGTTTTGCAGCGTATATGGTAGATATTTGCACCTATCGTTCACAGATCATGACAAATGAAATCGATAAATCGCTATAGACACACTAGAAATGGCTCATCACGGACCTGACAGACACATTAACAATACTTCAGACATCTTCTCTATATGATTAGCAAGAGCAGCTACATTATGTTTCACATCGCGATCCCGAAAGTATTACGCTAACAGTTTTTCTGTATATGCTGCATTAAATAAATGAAATTGATTTTTTAACAAAGTTAAAATTTACGATGCTATTGACGTTGTTGTAAATTACTTAAATTTATTAATAGACCAAGTGAAACCAATGAATTATTTATTGCCATAGATATCATTTCAAAAATAATTCATAGATCTTGATTATTTCCTACTATACTTGGTTGTTCGTCTATCATACGGAATATTATTTGCTATACTGTAATCAGTATTAATGATAAAATTAAATATAATGTATATGATTCTGATGTATTTAGTTCTTATTTCAGTGAAACGATTATTAAAAGACCTACCAATCATGACTACATTATGCTAAACATGTAATTCAATTTTCTCGATTTATATATAGTAAAGTCGCTGTTGTTTTATATATTCAAACTGTTCACATATGATAACAAAATATGAGAAAGTCACTAGTTAATACATTGATTTGCTCCATTACGTAAAACAACTAATAAATCATCGTATTCTCGTTGATAGAGAAATGATCACATTTGACTTAAGTTTGAACAAGGGTGGGGTGTGGGTGTGGAGGTGGGTGTGGGTGTGGGTGATATGGAGACCAACACGCACACTCACACCCACACCCTAATAGCGAAAGCAATGTCAAATAATACTGCCAAGGCTACTGCTGAATTCATTATGAACGAATTCATTATGATACATGGTGCAGCTGAACGATTTATTACAGATAGTGGTGTACATTTTAAGAAAACACTAATGAAGACGATTACCACAATGATGAATAGTACTCATGCATTTTCAGCTTCGTACCATCCGCAAACGAATGGTCAGATGGAGCGCTTCAATGCTACCTTTTGTACACAGCTGGGAAAGTATTATGATGAGAACGAAGATGATTGGGATGATTATCTTCAATCGGTTGTTTATGCCTACAATACCGGCATTCATGCTACAACTGGCTTTGTTCCGTACGAACTTGCATTTGGTCGAAGACAAAAGAGTTCATTCGATTCCAGCTCAAACAACTTCACTTTAACTCAACCGGATACGTTTTTTAAACATTTACAAAAAACACGGCGAACAATTCTTAAATAAGCTCAAGAACACATACGTCATCAACAACAATTAACAAAACTGTGATATGACAAACATTGCAAGGATATGTCTTATTCTATTGGTGATTTGGTATTTCTCAAGGTATGTGCTAATCGAACAAAACTAGATGAACGATGGATAGAACCTTGTCAATTGATCAATAAAACAGGTGAACAAAAATATTTGGTTCAAGACAATGAAACAGATAAATCTACATGGGCTCATATTATTCATCTACAGCCGGTTATGGAATGAGGCGTCTGATCACAAAGTATTTCAACTGATATAATCATATACCATCACCATTATCAACAGCGATTGAAGACGACTTGGCAACTCAAATTCTCAATCCCAGTGGATCACAAAAAACAACTTCATTGAAGTACACAATAAAAACAATCTTTTCATTTTCATTTACATTTTATCTTATTCACACTGATAGTTGTTCGCTGTGCGGGACGCGTATCTTTTTTGTACGGGGGAGGTGTTCTGATCATCACCTTCCGTGAGATCATATCATTACGTCTATTCTTCTCATAAGCAGTTTTCTCTCTATGCGTCGCTTGTCAAAGGTCGAAGGAACATATATTGTTCTCTGTTCATGCTCTTATTCTCTCTCTCTTTCTCTCTAGTACTACATCTCTATCTCTCTTTAGTACTATCTCTCTCTCCCGATTTCATGATCGTATATATGCTGGAGTTTTCTTAAACAAAGTAGTACAATAATTGACCGGTTAAAAATCAAGTCTTACAGGAATCTTCTCCCATGAGACCAGAGATGGGCAAGTCAAGTCGGACTTGACTTGAAGATTTTAAAAAATGACTTGACTTGACTTGGGATTCAACCGAAATATCAAGTCAAAGTCAAGTCAATTAATTTATAATCTATTTCTCATTTTTGTGAAGTTAAATCCGTTTATTTATAGTATATTAGTGTTTCAGGTGAACTCAAATTGATTAATTGTGGTACATTTGTCTATTTTTGAGAAGTAAAATCGACTAGTTCGAGATATATTAGTTTCTTGCTTGAACGGAAATTTATTGGTTGTGCCCATCTCTTTTCATTTTACTTAATATTTTCTTGTTTCTGATGAACTTTTATCGGAAGACCATTTCTCGTGAGAAAGGATGGGGGGGGGGGGGGCCCCATATTTTGACGGTTTTACAGCCGACGAAAGCTGCACAAAAA